CCCATCAATTCAATCTGAAAAACTGTACCTTCTTGCAGCAGCTCTTGTTAACTTGGTAAATATTTCTCTGACTTTTTCTCGATCATCCTGTAGCTGGCGAAGCTGACAGGGCGTGACACAGACATTGTTATTGCTCAGTAATTCAGCAGCTGTCAAGTGAGCCTCTAATGCATCAGCCAGGTCATGCAGTTTTGACAAGGCTTCTGTATTGGTGCTGTTATGAAAGGAGGAATAGAACAGTGTTATTTGATAATGTTAGAGTAATATTTTCTGTGTTAAAAAAAGTGAAAAAATCATGGGACACTGATTATTTAACTAAAGAAATTCAAAAGTAATCATAATGGCATTGAAATAATGACTACAGTTAATCCTTTACACCCAGTAAGAACAACAGTCAGATTTTTGCCTCTCCTATTGTCTTTCATACTTTGTGATTATTTTATACCTACTTCCAACAAACTGCTTGACTGTGTCCAAACTAAATTCTCAAATAAATTACAAACATACTGTAAAGAAAGAATTACTGACATCTGACATTACAAGAGTCCACAAAAAATTCAATCAATTTCATAATTGTAATCAAATAACAATCATAGTTCTTACCCAGACTCTCTCTCCGGCAGACACTCCAGAATGGCAAAGGCTCTCGGCAGCTGGGTTTCCTTCTCACATGCGTACACACAGTCTAAAGCAATAGTCATCATCTCCTCAGCCGATGTGATGATCTGTGCATGCTGGTCTGGCCTGGAATGCTGTCAAAAAAATGAATAGATAAAAATAAAAATGAATAAGTAAATAAGATTAAATAAACATAATGTGCATACCAATCTACAAGAACACAATGGACAGAACATTCAACAATTGCATGCTGAAAAGAAATAATAAATATAAGAAATTTTAAGCAAGAATAAAACAATGACAGTATTAAAGTATCAAATTCTTATAATAATTTAATATCATAAGAAATAAATACAATAAACATATTCTAAAAAAAAAATCCCCACTAAGCAAACAAATGGAAAATGTAGAGCCAAGATGTAATGGAAAGGAACTCCTTATGGAAAGGAACTTCTTACCTGTAGGATCTTGAGAGGTAATCCAAGGTCATCCTTAGCTGTAGACACCACATACTCCCTCAGAAGACACTTGGCAATGCCAGGATTCCACTTATCACAGCGAGCCAAGAATGGCAAAAGCCAACGCCTAATATTCTGGATGTATGTTTCTGGGGTGCTCTGTAATATATGTGGGAGAGAATATCAAAACAATTCATTTGCATTGTAAGCATTTTTTCAAATGTGCATTTATCATGATTGAAATTTAAAAAATCTTGTTACCGTAGACATTAGCTTCACTATCTTCTCAGCATCAGACAAGCTTGAGTATTCATCCAAGGTCATTGAACATAAGCCTACTTCATAAACCATCACTTCCAAGGAATCCAGAGTGTCATGAAGTTCTTCCAAATTCTGCAAATCAGAAGATTCAAAAAATACAAATTCTTATTGACTTGGAGGAATCCTAAACGCAGTAGTATTGAAAGAAGAAGAACATAAATGCAGATGTGTTCAAACCGTAACAACTATATATGCAATATTATTCAAAGTACCTGATGACCCCACAGTTTCAACATTAATAGGCAGTGAGTCTTAAGCAAATGTTTCTTCATATATCACAGGCAAAAGTGTAGAGGGTGACTTTAATTTCTCCAATCTAAAGTGCCAGCTAATTAATTAGGGTTACTTGGTATTATAAAACAAGCAATATGGTAAGAAATTCATTCACATATTTTCCTGGATGTTGTGCTGTCTTACAACAGAGGATGAAAATCATACAACCAATTCCTGGCTTGGCACTGGCTATCTCCCCTAATGAACCTATCCCATGGCTTTGAAGATACTGTGCTCCCAGGGAGAGCATTACAAATGCTTCTTTTCACTCTTTTGCTTCACTGAATTTAACATTAGTGTAAGAGAGGCAAATCCTTACAAAGCAAGGTACTGAAGACCATTACACAAAAATTGACAAATACAAAATCTTAGAGAAACAAACTGACCTTCACATCTCTTTCCCTGCCTAGTTTGAGCAAGTCTAAAGCAGCATCCACAAAATGACTGCATCTCTCAATCTCCCGTGCCCTTTCTTGGTACCACAGGCTCACAATTTCTGCACTTGGGTCAAGGCCCATGAACTTCTTGAGATCCTGGCGTTCCTCATACAAGAATGCAGCTGGGTCTTCCTCCTCCTCATTTACTGCATCTCTGTGAATGAGAATGTGTTAAAGGGTATGAGAATGAGTATAATACATTAATGTACATAAATTAGATATGAATGAGTATTCATGATTTCAAAATGCAAATAAAAATGTCCACAGTCTGATCATTCTTACCATTTCTACACCTGTTGCAATGAACACTAACTGAGTTTTTGTTAATGTTAAGATCACAAGTTAATGAGAATGAGAACATGAGAATTGTTAACCCTTTCCCTGATACATGCA